ACCACATAAATCCAATTTAAGTGGTGTATAGGACTTGTCTTGGCCTACTTCACCCAAAATGAATATACAACTCTTCAATAATAAGACTCCATAACTTTTAAATATGAAAACAAAAATCTATATATTGGAAAAATAAGCTGTAGGAGAAATGTGAACTAGTGGTTTGAAACCAGTGCTGAAACCAGGATCTCTTGAGTGCTAATTCTGTCTCTAACACTGACTTTTTCAAGTGGCACTGGGTGAATCACTTAACCTCCTTGTCTCAGCTTCCCCATTTGTAAAATGGAGAGTTTACTTCTTCTCTACATCATAGGCAAATGGCAAGGATGAATTAAACCACTTTTGTAGAGTGCTTTGGAATTGTAAAGCACTGTGTAAGTGCTAAATAATGTCATTTCCCCCCATAACAGAATTTTAAGAGATCAGAACAAATCATTTGTTTGTCTTATGTAGCCAAGGCAAAACTACTGATTTAATTGATAGAATAATTAACATTGTTGGGAAGAGGAAAAGAAGTGCTAGTAAAAGATCAGCATATTTCCAATAGTTCGAACAAAGGGTTGTGTACTATATTTAGAGATTAATATTCTGTAACTGCACAGTATCTTTTTCATGTAGTCAGGCAATACTGGTAGAGAAAATAAAGAATAGTTCTTGCCATGCTATTTTTCCCCATTTTATTGCTATAAGACACAATCTTGCTCGCCTGCCTACTCTCAGAATTTACATCTCCATATGTTTTATTTTCCACAAGTTTTTGTTTTATCTGCTTGTGGGTGTTTATTTTAGTTTGGAACATTACAAGTGTGATCTGTTAAAATGTTGACAATCCTTTAATGATTAATGGAATGCTTCAGTGTTTTGACAATGTAAATACAAAAATAAGATTTGTTTTCTGACAGAAGTCATACCACACATGGTGTTCTAACAGACGAAGGCATATAATAATAATCCTATAACATCAGACTGTATGTACCACACTTAGTGTTTATATATTGCTTTACATATTCAATCTGCAGATTCAATAGTACAGATATCTTTTTTATGAAGAATGGTAGGTGCCATTTGTGCATAGGAAGTGCACAGCGTGATTAATTAAAATCCTTCAGCCCCTTAGTATTTCCTTGAGGTTTCACATGGCTTCAACACAAAACTGTGAAACTTGGTGTGTTTGACTTGAGTTTCCCTTTGAATCATTTAAAAGTGGTATATACAAAGCACTGCAGAACATACCACAGGGAATATTTCTGAAATGGCAGGGAGATGGACTAAATAACCTGATGGGTCATTTCCATTCCTTACTTGTTCCGGATGAGGTCTTGTCTAAGGCTAGGTCTACACTACAGCGGGGGGTCGACCTAAGATACGCAACTTCAGCTACGTGAATAGCGTATCTGAAGTGGCGTATTTTAGGTCGACTTACCTGGCTGTGAGGACGGCGGCAAGTCGACCGCTGCCGCGCCGCCGTCGACTCCGCTACCGCCTCTTGCCGCGGTGGATTTCTGGAGTCGATGGTAGAGCCATCAGGGATCGATTTTATCGCGTCTTCACTAGACGCGGTAAGTCGATCCCCGATAGACCGATTGCTACCCGCCGATCCGGCGGGTAGTGAAGACGTGCCCTTAGGATGGGGAAAGCAAGTTCTGAAAACAGAAGTCTCTTGAATCTCTGCCCAGACTGTATTTACAGTCAAGCTTAAACTGAACTTTGCATATGTCAGTATGTATTTCAAAATGTGAAAGTGTTCCCCCCATTTCTGAAAAGTATTTATGTCCTGAAGTTGAACGGCCAGAGATCTGTGAGAAAACTTGTTCTTCTGAGATTTCCAGACCAATTCTGCAGAATCACAAGGTTCTGAACTCAAATTCTGAACTTTTGGAGCTTCACGCTTCACTAGACTGAGTGGGGCACCAGAAAAAAAGAAGAAAAGATTGAAGAATGTGAAACAAAAGTCGTAATTTCAGTCACAATGACACAGAATCTCAGTTTTCAATGGCTGTAGTAGGAGGTGTTACATGCAGGGTTGTCATGGGAACGTCTGAGGAATAACCCCCTTGTTCTGTCAAGTCTGTGTCTTTCCCAAATTGCTTTTGTTTTCTTCATAGGCAAAAGGGGCAGCATGAGTGGTACTTAGACTTCTGCTTGGTGGAAAGGTAAGACAATAAGCTGAATTTTGGACACATCTTGCCCTGGACACCTAAAAAGTTTGATGATCCTACATTATGTTGTGTTTTCTAGTTTATTTTCCTTATCAAATGTAATCCTTAATTTATTATTGGTTGTTCTATTTATTCTCTACCAAACGCATGTTTTACAAAGCCAAGACAACAACCTGAACTTTAAAACATTAAAGTTGTGTCCAAAATGCTCAAACTTGGGTGCCTAAAGTTATGCATCTAAGTAAATAGGCTGTTTTGCAGTAGTACTGAACTGCTGCAGCTCCCATTGAATCCACGGGAGCTGTAGGTAGTAATCACCTCTGAAAATCAGGCCACTTGCTGAATGTTAATGTACCCAAGTTTGAAAAGTTTGGTCTGTAACTTTTGGAATTTCCTCATTCCCAATTGTTTGAATTTTCAGCCTTAAAGATGCATTGAAAATGGCTTTTTGTTGGCGTGAGCTAGTTTTTCTTTCATGAGCACGTTCCTTGAAGGCAAAGGAAGGGAAATACAGAATATGCTGCTGTTCCATGTATGAAAATTCTGGTGGGTTTCAGCCATAATATTTTGTTACTTAATTAATGGTCAGGCAATGCAACCAGTAATTGGCATAATACACCAAAAATTATCCATCAGCTCCCAGAAGCATTTAGAAATTCAGAGAAGTCAACAAGCCTATTGCAGCAGATGTAACACACTGAAAAGGGAAATCTCACCTCTGACAGTATTTTCAACTTTCTTTAATAATGATGCCATTAAATTGGGGGGAGGGAGGCCTGACAAATTCAATTAGTCCTCCACTGTTTGATTGAAGATTTGTAAGAGCTACTCCAACAGTGTTTGCCAAGCAGTGTCTGTGTTCATGCGCACTCTATACCACCTTGCCACATCCTCTCCTTTTACAACTCCCCCATGAATGCAGAGTGCTCTAATCAGCACTTTGGAGCACCCTCGATTTGAATTAGTAAAACAAGACATTGCCAGCTAACTAGAGGCCAGTAGGATCAAGTGCTCCAGTAACTTTTGCTTGCTCCTGCTTGGGGGAACGTTGAGCCTGGGCAGTTTCCAAAAAAAACCCAATCAAGATGCACACAAGGCTTGACTCTTTCTTACAGGGAAAAAGGTGTCAGACATCTGCAGTTAACATGGCTTAATTTCTGCAAGTACAGAGCTCAGGTTGTTGCTCATTATTAATTATTATTTTATATTACATATATGAAAGTAGTGTCTAAATCTACTAGTTACTTTCCAAACACAGCTATGATTCAGTCCTTTCACCACAGAGCATACACTTTCAAAGGCAAGTTTTTTTCCTCATCTGATGCTAGTTAAGGAAACTTTACGTTCAATATACTTCCAAATTATTACATTGAACCAATTCAGACCCAGAACCTGGCATCATCTTGGACACCTTTCTTCCTTGCCTCTCATTGACCCTTTTGTCTTCTCTGCTCTGCCTATGATACCACCTTTCACCTATTTCTCCTGCAAACGTCTTCCCCTCTTTCTTCTACGCTGCCCCTAATCCCAGAATGTCTTTTCTTAGCTGATTCACAAGGCCCCCATCCTTGTTCAAGTGCCTCCTTAACACTCACCTCTGCCATGGGGCCTCCTTGATATTAGCCATCTAAAACATCCATTTAGTTAAAAAATAAAATAAACAGAACTAATCCTTACCTTATAATGCAATTTGTGTTTTCCGAAAAGAAACAAAACACTTCATTGGAACTGGCTGCAGATTTGAACACTGCACTAGGAGCTCATCACTAGCTGGAAGTGTGCATTACCCTCAGATCCCTTTCCCATTACTACACTTTTGTACTACATTTGTATATATTTTATTGCTAAATTAAGTATGTGACTATACAATACCTAGCTACCCACTTATTCCAGTACAGCCATATGTCTAGGTGCCCAGTTGCATATTGTGTACATATACAAACAGGGTGAAATTCATCCCTGTGATGATGCCAACATAAGGTGTATGCATTATTTAAGTCCCAATAAGCTTGATTTTGGGCGCCTAAGTGGGATTTGGGACTTGCACTGGTCCTTAGCACAGGGGAGAATTTCACTCACAGTGAAGTTCTCAAAATATTGGTGAGACTAATTCCTTTAACAATGGTAGATCTGTGAGATCAGTAATTTAATTTCAAATTTGTGCCAAGGGCTAGTCAGTACACACACATTGGGTCAGAGCTTCAGGTGGTGTTAATCAATGCAACTTCATTGATTGCACTACCATTTTTACTTGTTGGCTCTTGAGCTAGACACAATACTCACATAAGTCTATGGTACAATAAAATATCTGAATGTACAGTACTGTACAATGGCAGAGCAGAGTCCATTAGCAATAAAAATTGTGACTAGAGATGGATGAGTACTTTGTAGGCATGTGTGTAACTGCAGGTACCTTGGGTATTAAAGCGGTATCATTACCTCCCATCATTATTTGAAATGCTAGAATTCCTGGTTCTTGGCAATGGTACTTCCAGGACTCAAATTACAACACTAAGTTTCCTCTTGGAAGTATTACACCTTGCTCAGGCATTAGTTAAGAATGACACCTGAAGGTATTGTGGCACCTGTATAGGAGGATACAATCTCAAGTGCCCATCAGTCTCCTAATGGAATCTTCAAAATGTAACCCACAATATCTTTACTGGAAACCAGCCTGTGTTTTGTTACTGATCAGGCAGAGACCAATGTCAACTGTATTGTAACCACACAAATCTATAGAGTAATTATTAAGCATGATGATAAAGGTCACAATGAACATCATTATTATTAGGTCCAATAATAATATACAAGTTATAGCTTTAGTGTGCATGAAAAGCTTACTGTTAGCAAGTGCCGGTCCTTTATCTCTTTCCTCTTCTGACTGTAGATTGCAGGGAAGGAGGGAAATGGGGGAACCACCACAGAGATGGGCCCTGGGACTTTCTGCTCTCTGTTATCACCCCGGTTTCGTTGTTCTGTTTAGAAAATGGAGAAACTAGAAGTCAGTTTTTCTTATTGATGCAGTAAACAAAAATCTCTTTATTGAGATTTAAACAGATATAAATAATGAAGTTTAATCTTCTAGCAAAGATTCAGGCTGGTCTTCTTCCTCATTATTATTATTTCTGCAGTAGCACCCAAACCATGAATGGTGCTTTCCAAAAACAGAGGAAGATTTAGTGTTTGCCCCAAAAAGCTTGCATTCTAATGGTACAGCAAGTGAGAGCTACAACAGCGGAGGAAACAGAAGAGTTGGTAGACAAAGAGTCAGAAAGCAAGGACACAGGGTTGCTATACATGTAATTGTTACTAAATGTGTACAAAGTTCCCCACATACCCCATTAAAATCCCCTTCCAAGGCAAAGTACCCAAACCTTTTTGAGTGCTGAGGTTTTACAAAACTAAAACCCAGACTTGGCTCATTTAATCTTTAAACAAAATAGATCATATACTCTTTGGAACGTTAGCAACTCAAATCCCAACTAAAAGATCTGTCCTGGGTCTGGTTCTATTCAATATCTTCATAAAAGGTTTAGATAATTGCATAGAGAGTACATTTATAAAGTTTGCAGAAGATACCAAGCTGGGAGGGGTTGCAAGCACCTTGGAGGACGTGATCAGAATTCAAAATGATCTTGACAAACTGGAGAAATGGTTTGAAGTAAACAGGATGAAATTCAATAAGGACAAATGCAAAATTCCTTCCACTTAGGAAGGAATAATCAATTGCACAAATACATAATGGGAAATGACTGCCTAAGAAGGAATACTGCAGAAAAGGATGTGGGGGCTAAACTAAATATGAGCCAACAAAGTAATACTGTTTCACAAAAAGCAAACATCATTCTGGGATGTATTAGCAGTGGTGCTGTAAGCAAGACATGAGAAGTAATTCTTCCACTCTATTCAGAACTAATAAGGCCTTACCTGGAGTATTGTGTCCAGTTCTGGGCACCACAGTTTGGGAAAGATGTGGACAAATTTAGAGAAAGTCCAGTGGAGAACACCAAAAATGATTAAAGGTCTAGAAAATATGATCTACGAAGACAGATTGAAAAAACTGGGTTTGTTTAGTCTGAAGAAGAGAAGACTGAGTGGGGACATGATAAATATGTAGAAGGTTGTTATAAAGAAGAAGGTGATAAATAGTTCTCCTTAACCACTGAGCACAGGACAAGAAGTACTGGGCTTAAATTGCAGCAAGGGAGATTTAGGTTAGACATTAGGAAAAACTTCCAAATTATAAGGGTAGTGAAGCACTGGAACTAATTACCTAGGGAGGTTGTGGAGTCTCCCTCATGGGAGGTTTTTGAGAAAAGGTTAGATAATCACCTGTCAGGGATAGTCTAGATTTAAGTTCTGCCTCAGTGCAGGGGACTTGACTAGATGACCTATCGAGGTCTCTTCCAGTGCTACATTTCTATGATTTTTATGATTCGATGATAGAAACCCTTCTGGGTCACTCCCACATATCTAGCCCCCATAATGCAGATCACAGCAGGAGACTGCTCCCCTAGAAACATAATTAAAATCCAGATAATGGTTGTTGAAGATGATCTCCCCATTGGTAAAGAGAGAAATTGCTCGTAAACATGCAGATTTATTTCCATCTCTTACACAAAGTTAAGACGAAACAGAGCAAAGGAGGCTCAAAGATCAAGAATTTTAAATAACTAGAAAAAAACACATGATTTATTGTCATCACCCAAAAATCTGACAATTTCCTACCTGTAATTTGTTTTTGTCTTAAATACAAACAAAATCAAAAGAGAAAAAGATCAGTAGGCAATCCATGGAAGATAAAGTGCAGCTATTGTCCCCTTTGAAGACTGAATGCAATTCTGAAAGGCTTCCATAAGCTAAGTATTACATGTACCGTAAGGATAAGGTGGATTCATCATTGACCATGCCATGGCACAAATGTCCAAGATGAAAGAGTATCCACTGAGGCCACAGGCCATTGGAAGGTTCACTCTCCTAAAAGACACTACATCGGAGGCTAATGAGCCTGAGGTCTCCCAGAATGGGACTTAAATTACATCCCAAATGGTAGTGAGGCCAACGCAGAGATGCTTTGGACCCAAAGCCTGACTACCAATGGGAGCTTCTTTTGCCTAGAAACATTAAGAGGTATAATAGAGTATTGAGTACACCTCTACCCCGATATAATGCTGTCCTCGGGAGCCAAAAAATCTTACTACGTTATAGGTGAAATGCATTATATCGAACTTGTTTTGATCTGCTGGAGTGCGCAGCCCCGTCCCGCCCTGGGAGCATTGCTTTACCGCGTTATATCCGAATTTGTGTTATATCGGGTCACATTATATCGGGGTAGAGGTGTATATCAATAGGTGCAGTGAGAAGAAATAAGAAGGAACATTCCAAGCTAGGATTTTATTCCCTGGTTCCACAGCTGCATCAGGTTCTGACTGCTTGACTGGGACCAGGGAGATGGATGCTGAGGCAAAGACTTGTCCCACAACTGAGGTGTCTGTCTTCAAGGCTCTGGCTATACTAGTCTCTCTCAGTTCCAAGAAAATTTCAAGCTCTACGGAGTCTTTCATTCCTAGAAAGCTCTAGTATTGAAGTCTCTCCAGCATCAATCCATGCCCAAACTCAAGCTTCTTCAAAATCTTCTGGGAATCCGTGTGAGACAGGGGAATGGTTGTGTCTTTTTTCTCCCTCTGTTCTTGATGCCAAGGTAGAAGTAGTTCCATTAATGTTAGCATGCAGAACCAATGGAAGCGCAAGCTAGATTCTTTTTCACCAACTGCATTCTCAGCAACATCGTCAGCTAAGTACCAACAGAACAGTCTTTGTCACTGGCATTTGATGAGTGAGGCAAGGAGAACGTAACTTGTTTTTCTGATCTAACACTGAGTTTGAAGAAGTGGCAGTTAAAATATCTTTTTACTTGTAAATAATGCAAATTTGATATAGGAAGTATAAAGTAGGAAATGCTACTTTTAGGTGTTCTTTTCAGAGTATAATTGCATTTTACAATAAAAAATACATAGAAAATAAAATATAACAATGTATGACAAACTGCTAATGCTGCAGAATTAATATTAAATCCTGAAGATAGTACATTGCCAAAGCACAATTCGTTATTTAACACCATTACCCATTTCTCTCCACTGCCTTTATGCTTTGG